AATTCTCATCTGTGTCAAAGCAGCACTGAGAACCTGCAGCGTTCGTATACATCACAACATAGTAGGTGATACTAATACAACCCAGTTTCTCAGCTTAAATCTGGTAATTACGGCCCTATTATTTCCAAATAAGTATATAATAAGTAAGTATCATCTGACATGCTGGGGAGAGTTCAGAATAATTAATTCACTGCTCAAGAACATGGCAAATCAACTCAACTACCTAACTTCCAGCTACTTTAAGTGTTCAGAGTACCATAACGTATGCTATTCCTGCCTACTTACAAGTACAGTGTCTTAAAAAAAAAAAAAACCTTCCTCTTCATCCCTCCAATTCAAACAGAATTCCTTAACTTGCACAAAAATACCCAAAACTGCAAAATACAAAAGCAGACAGCTCCTTCTACTGATGAGTACATTTTACTTTCTGCTCTTCTTTGTACTCCAGCTTATTTTTAGTTGTATTTATCACAACGAACAGTGAGTATGTTATGAATACGGTGTTTCATTATATAGGACAAAATGCCAGGAAAGAAGGATAAAGGTCCTTTTACAGAAATAACAAAAACTTTAACTTCGTACATGTCATCAAATAACTCTACCCAGAGATACAAGGGGAAAAAAAAAAGTTATTCCAGAATATAATAAAATTAGCCTTCCTTTAAAATATTCCCCGTTGTACATTCACTGAGCAAGTGTGAAGATCAGGAGAGTTGAAATTTTTTATTTTTTTCCTTAAGCAATTCCAGAACAGTAAACCATTCCTTTCCAAAAACACAAAGAAAAGTCAACTAGAAGTTGAAAGAGTTAACATTTACCACATGAAACTTCCCTTTCCTACTAAAATGAGAAACATGTATTTTCAGCTCTTTCTGGTGTCTAACACATTGTGCTTCAATTAAAACCACATTTGAAAAAAATACTGAGAAATACATTTGTCCTCAATGCTACCATTAATTCACAATTTTAGATGCCAGGGAAGCAATACTGTGGACAGAAATCTCTACCACTGAGCTTCAAAATCAGTATTCAGTGCACAATCTAACTATTAGAAGGTATGGTTCACATCAAGGAGAAATCCACAAGAACATTAATTTAGCAGCTATAGATGACTAAAAGCTAAATAAGTACCTTGCTATGAAGGCTATGCAAAGCAGAAAACATGATTACAGCAACACACCAAGAACTTATAGTCCAGGGCATAGTCAAATGTATCAAAATGACAGAGTCCAAGACTCAGACACCACATGTCCGTGTCCAAAACTAGTACTGATTTCCTGCCCCTAACCTAAGACAGAGATAATTATTGATTAGGTAATGGCTCAAGGCAATCTGGAAGGAAAAAAAAAAACCCACACTACCACCACCCTACACAAAGAAAAAACAAAACCAGAAGACCTGCTAAGAGAAGAATAATCTACTGATGGGAATCAACTTTGAAACCAAGAATATGGAAACTTGTTTTATGCACACTCATACACACACACAGATATCACGTCCTTGCCTATAAAAGTAATTACTGAACTTTAAACAGCTGAAGAGAGAAACAACTAATATGAGAGCACATGTGTGTACACCAAAATACCAAAGTAATATGAAAAACCTAAAAAGCCTCATAGGAAGTAATTAAAAAAAACCCAAACCCACAACCTGCTGCCAAATGCAAAGACCAGCTCATTTGTATAACAAAGAAATTGCTGAAGACACTTTGCCTTTCTAGATTGCTACCCAATTTCCCAAGTACATTTGTACCATTGCTAACAAGGTTAGACTTTGCAAAGAGCAAAACTGAAAAATTCACATTCAGGAACATAAAAAGACAGTAGTAAAGACTTACTTTTAATCAAGTTACAAAACAAGACAAGCAAAAGACAAACTTTCCAGACAGCAGTCCCTTGATAAAAGCAGAGAGATAGGTAGGAGTGGGTTCTTAGGAGGCTACTAATTTTTCTAACAAGCTAGTCATCAACAGATCTCACAATACATAGGGGTTAAGGAAAACTGGGTGCTATCAGAAATGTCATTCATTTGGAAAGAAGAAACTTTTCTCTTGGAAGCAGGGCTGAGTGAAAAAAACAGTCCCATCATAACCACTGATAAAAATGTGCAGCCATGGGCATACACATATTGCTGGGGATTCAATAGTTCAATCTGAAAATTCTCTGTACCACTTGTAAGAAGTCTCAGACTAAAACTCCACATCTCATAAAACAAATTCAATGTGGCACCTTAATTGCACTCCAGGAAAAGGCAGATTTTGAAAATAAACCAGGAGTACCCCACTAGTTTGCATGATTATATAACCCACGTACTTTGCACAGAAAATACAGGAGACCTGCCTAATGTAGGTAAGAGATACCCAAAGATGCTGCAGGTAGCAGATGGCATCTAGCTAGCTGTAGCCAATCAAGACTAAAACAAGAGATCGTTCTAAAGCTGTCAATGGAATGATAACAGATCAGTTTATGTAATTTTAGGTTTGCTTCACTTACAATGAAGATAAGCAAAATCTGACTCAGTCTGAGTAACATGACCACAAAAAAAAAAAAAAAAAAAATTACAGAACACATCAAATCAAATGAAGAATAGAGAGTATGTATCAATGAAGAAGTGTGAATAAAATGCTGAAAACACTAAATAAAAGAATATTAAAAAAAAAACCCTGGACTGGAAGTCAGCTATGAAATACCAGGATACAAAGAACAGCAGCATACACACACCACTTTTGTGTCTTGAAAAGCGCAACAACTAGAACTCAGCCACAGAAAATTTCTGACTGAACAGAAACAGGTTTTCATAGCTTATAATATAAAATATTCCCAAGCATTACCAATGGAATAAGTCATTGAAAGCTTGCGAATATACTTGTTTAAAAGTAAAAACCTACAGCCACCAGATTATGCAATCTCCAAAAATATTGTTTATAAGTATGCCAAATTCTACTACAGTCAGCAAGAATGAATCTGACCCTTAATAAAAGAAAGTTTTGAGAACAAAGCCTGTTCCTTACGGTACTAAATTTAAATATACCACCATCTGATACATAACACCAACTCACTGACCCTCACTTCAGTAATCTTGTCAACATACCACCAACTTTTCTTTAAGTAAATCCAAGATTTAACAGGTTTCTCATGCTGCCAACAGATAGCTAAGTCTGTTCTCAGAAGCATTGTGGATAACAAAGAAAACAGATTCAGGATGGCTTTCCTAATCTAAGTCTGATGGTTTTCTACTGTTATGGAAAAAGAGTAGAAGAAAATACAGGCTTTTTTGCCAGTAATCTGGTGTACTTTAAAGGATGTTTGCATGACTGACATTACAACCAATCACTAGCTATTAACAGGAGTTCAAAATGAAAGCAAACAGAAATATGAGTGTATGTAACTTTCACCACAGTGTGTCTTACAACTTAAGACAGTATCCTAACAGTAATATTTTCTGAATTTGTCCTGAAGCTGCAAAAGGAAAAAATAAGCCATCATAGACTGTTAAAGAAGACAGTATGCAACAGGAACATCCAGCACAGAAGCGCAAAGTGTTAACATGAGTTTCAAAGTTAGGTAAGGACCTAGAGAGAAACTACTCTCACTGCAACTTTCTGTTGAAAGAGAAGACAGGACTGAGTGCCAAGCGTGGGGGCAAAGATAAGGTTCTAAGAGTGTCGAAAAAGCTGTTATCATTCTCTCTGCCCCACTCTCTCCAAGAAAACAGATCAGTCCAACCTGCAGTCTATGCTCTGTTTGTACCTGCATAGACAAGTTGGCCAGAAATACTTAAAAAATAATCACATTTTTTAAGAGGTCATACATGCACATGGATAAACTCAGTCCCAACAGTCTACCAAAGCCAAATTACTGAAAAATTTCAGGTATGCTGGTTTTGGTTGAATTTATTTTATTGTAACATCAATAAGCCACCGCATCACAGAAGTATTTTATTTAATCACCTCTTCATCAACAATTGAAACTTTTCAATAAAAAGAACCTGTTGTGAAAGTTATCCTACACCTATGCACCATCTGCTGCACAACTGCTTCATCATTCTTTTGCTTTCCAGCTGCACACAAGTGTTTTAAAGAGCTTGCTCCATTATGCAAGGTGTGCGTCACTTGCTAAAGTAACTGTTTCAGATGTCCACTGTGATCAACAGTTGCAGACTCTCATGCCTGATAAAACAGCTGCCAGACAAGGAGTCTGCAACTTTGTGCTACACATTTGTGCTCCATATAGTATGAAGTTTAGTTTCAGTATGTTTTTATCCTGCCCATTATACCGCTATCTACCGGCCTGTAGTCCCTCTAACTTCTCCCAGAAAGGAGGAAATAGAAAACCTTGAATTTTACCTTCAACAGCTTTTCTTTGGAAATAGGCATATGCATACCTGTTCTGGAATATGACAACTACCATTTGAGAATTTATATGCTGCACCTCTTATCAGAAACCTAAAACAATCTCTTGAGAACAACCAGACACTACCCCCTTTAGAATTTTTGTTCACTGACACATGGTAACTTTATTCTCTCTAGATATCGCAGATGCTACCAAAATGTTAAAAGTTACTTACGGTTTTCCCCCAGGAATCCCTGCTAGATTTGGAGGGATTCCAGGTACTCTCATGTGAGGAGGAGGATCAAAGCCAACCTGACAGTGAAAAAAAAGAATTAATCTCACACTTGCAATTTCTCATTCAACAAGCCCCTTTTCTTCACCCCCAAGATAGTATGCATTTAACCAAAACGTGGCTTTTACCCACAGTATTAGGTAAGTGCATGTCCCTTCATTGCGGGGGAAAAACAAGACGATTTCCCAAGGCATGTTTCAGCTAGAAGTATCCATACACAAATAGAAAACCAATAATATACATCATGCATTCACACCACCCAGCATAACACAGATACCCCTGTGGTTTTGCACAGAGCTAGCCCTGGATGGAACTGGAGTCTGTGGTGTGTCGGCATGTAGCCACGCCAGTGCTCTTCAGCTCTGCGACAGCTAGCCTGTACCGATGCAGGAGCAGCACGGTGCTGGAAAGCAGCTTCAGGCCCCAGCTAGAATCTCTGCACGGCTCCACACTCCACTGCGTGGACATATCAACTGAGAGATCTCTCGTGGAGCGACACCACAGGGTGCAGACAAATTAGTCTGCAGCTTAAATATACTCTGCTCTCTTTACATACTGCAATTCCACTAAACATTTATATCCTGAATAAATATGTACATCAAACAACCCAAACAGACATTCTGGACCAAACAGGCTTAGTTTTTCTTCTGAATGCTATACCCCAGTTAAAATTCTTATTGCTTTAAGGAGGGCATATACTATTTAGAATTTCCACATTTTCACATAAAAGCGCTATTTACCAGTTTGAAAAAAGTAGCAGTACCTACAATAAGGAGAAGATTACAAGCTTAAGTCCAATCTTGCAAATTTACAAGCAGGTAGGTTTGCTTATTCATAAAGTTGCTATCAAGCTCATGTTTGCAGAATCAGGCCCCTAGGTTTTTCTGCTTGACAGCAGCTATAACTACTATGCTCCATTTACTTACTACACCCACAACAGCAACTATTCTTAACACACCTTATCACAGAACTCCAAGATATGTACTGACCAACATCTCATGTTGATTTCCACAAAAAACAAAATACAAGAACAGAGACATAGATAAGAAGACTTCTATGTGCTTCAAGATTAATTTGGTATGTCTGTACGGAACACAAATCTGTTTCAGCAAGACAAAAGCAGGTGTCCACAGCACCGATGAAATATTTTGTAACTACCAGAACTACCTTTCCATTTAAAGCAGAAAATAATTTTTTTTGGCATTTATTAATCAGTCAAAGCACTGATGAAGGTGAAGAAAAAAGGAAACATACATAAATACACTGAGATTCTTTGTTTTCAAGGTGCAAATTTGTTTCTCCAGCCACACAGCAAAGTGAAACACACAGCGAAGCTGTCAAGCCTCTGGCGCTGTTATAACTTGGGAATTCGACAGTGCTAAATAAAGCATGTAGCTCTTCTCAGTGAACCACAACTCACACAACTGAGATTGCATGCAATGTATGGCCTACCATAGGAGATCTTCCATAGGCAACCACAGCAGCTGCAGCAGCAGCAGCACTCATCTGGGGTGACATATTGTGCAGACTGGCATAGGCTGCCCCCGGACTGGTTAACTCTCCGTTCATGCCAGCATGAGGTACCATTCCAAATGGGGCAGGGTATGGTCCTGGTACTGCCAACGGTGTCCGCAAACCTGCAGCTACAGAATAATGAAATCAAGTAGTTTTATTTACATATTCCTGCATACAGGGAAGAAAAAAAGCCCCTTTTCCCCCCTACAATACCTAACCTTCCCCTCTCTCACACATAACATTGCCATAATTGATCAGCACCACCACCACTTCTTTTCACTCAGTGTAAATAAGATCTACTGAAGTCTGAACTTGCTGATTACTTCTAACAATCTCTTTTAGCATTACCTATTTCCATTTCTGTAATATTTCCCTGTTTACATTAATCTCTCCTTTGCCAAATTAAGCAGTAAAGCTGACAGACATGGTTTACACAGCTCATGTCTGAAGCAACTGTGCTGTACCAAGCCTAAATAGCAAAAGCAAACTTCCCCCTGCATTTGTCAAGATTTACACTGCAGCAAATATTAGTAGACTCAGACAAAGAGCTGGAGAAGAGATTGTATTCAGAATAAGTACCAGAAACTTCTGAGAAGTCTTTTTATATTGCATTCAGTCTCTGGATTATTTGCAAAAAAGATAAAGACAAAAGTAAACAAAGAAGGATAAGAGACAGAAAGATATTCAAACTCTTGATAATCCCAACATCTGCTTCTCATCAAGCCCTCTCTTGATATCAAGAACAAAGCAATACATTTAGTTAACACTCGCACAGAACTACATATGTAAAAAAAGATTAGTTTTGGAACCATAAAAACATGTGAGGTAATGCATTACCAGCTTGGTTAACCAGAGGGTCCATTGTTGGAGGTTTGCCAAGGCCTGGACGAAGTCCTGGAGTTGCACTAGTGCCTGGGGTTGGCACATCACTTCGAGGAGTTGGTGTGCTGGATTTCAGAACAGGCGTGCTGGCTTTTTCATGCTGGTATCATTAAACAAATTAAATGAGTATTATTTTTAATCCAGGCCTTATTATACAATTTATCACAACAGCAGCTGGGATGCTGGGCACCTACTACCTAGTCCCTCAGCCAATTTTCATAAATCCACGCAATGCTGACAACATTAACTTGTGAGAGAGAAACACTGACCTTTTTGATTGCTGCCAGAATTAAAATAAGAAAAGAAAACATAGAAAGTTATTTTTCCTTCTTCCATTGGCATGCAGAAAAAAAAAAAAGCCTGAGCTAATTTTTTTTCAGGACAATACAGTATGCATCACCAAATTATTTTAGCTTGAAATCATTACTGTCTCAATTATTACTGGACACAGCAAACCTAAATATAAAAACAAAATATCTCCATAGTTGATAGTATCAAAAAATTCTGACACAAAAGCTACAGAGAATCTGATGAAATTATTAGTGATACTGTAGGAAAAGTTTTAAAAGAGTAACAGCTTCGTTAGAAGAGTTTAACAAAAGCCTGGGGAACTTCTTACTGACTATACACAGACTATGTTAAACCATAAGTTATTGCTGAAGAAAAACTAAACAATACTTAAGCGACTATGTAATAAATTTGCAACTCATTTGACAGAAACCTAAGAAATTCAAAAAATCAAAATGAAGCAGAAAATATTGCTGAGGAGGAAAGCTGAATAGTACTATAAAGGTCTGGAAAAATGGTGGTCTATTTCAGCTTCAAATGTTTAAAGCCATTTACTTTCTTGCACAAGTAGTTGCAGGAGAATGGAGAGTTAAGACTTTACAAGAAAGAAGAATGTTTATCTGGACAACAAACTGCTACCCACCAAACTCATTTCTTTGGATTTGTGGGAAGCCGAGCTTCCTGAAGAGGCTGTAGATGCTGGACTGCTAGAGGCGTCTTTCTTCAGCAGTCGGGTTTTATCTATACCATTTTCACGGGGTGAATGAGTGGGACTTGCCCTTGGGGAAGAAGGATCCTAAAACAATGGGAAGGGAAGAACAGCACAGAACTGTGTCATGGGTTGGTACACAAACACCACTAAGGAGTCTATGGGAAAAAAAAAAACTAGAATAATTTAAGCAGAAAGTTCAAATGACAAAACATTTTATTATCCCTATAGAAAAAAAAGCTGAAATTCTTTCATCAATTTAGAGACAAAAGTAAGTTAATATAGTAATCTGGTTTTACTTTAACACTACACATAATCATAAACTGCTTCCAAGCATAGAGTTTGCAATCTAAGTATAACTAAGTACAAACTAAGGCAAGTGCACACAACATGTGTTAAAAGCGAGAAAGACCAACAGTAACTGCAGTAAATTTACACTGTTTTTTCCATGTACATTCTCCAGGCACTGCTAGTGACAACAAACATTTCAATAATCTCTTTTAGGCCGTACAAACCTTTCTCATCTCTATCTTCAGAAGAATAGATAAAGATGCATGGTTTATATGCCATCACATCTGTCACTTCTTCCTTAAATACCATCTGCAATTGCCTCGCTACTTAAATCTACAGGAAAAACTGGAATCACCTCGCAGGTGATTATCACTCTCTCTTCCAGAGGTACTCTCTGCATTTACTTTAAGCTGAAATAACCAGCCCAGCAAGCTACAATGCCATCAGAGCTCTACAGGTTTTCCATGCTCCTTTGGCTCATGAGAACAGCATCAGGGAGGAAGCAGTTCTCACAACAGGGCATTGAGCAGCTTCGTTGTAAGCAGGGCTTCTGAAAGAATTGCTAAAACCCCTTGTTGGATACCCATTTTTCTACCTGGCTGACATCATTTGGGCACTTGGAGCTGCTGAAGACACTTTTTTGCCAGCTTCTCTCCCTGTGCTTTTCACAGAGCAGAAGAACCTCACTACCACGTTCAGGCTTGCTCAATCTCTTTGTTGCATGAGATAAAAGATGAAGAAAAGGGAAGGCCCATGCCTTCACCTTGGTGCCACTGCTAAATCTCTGCCCTGGAGAAAAAATGTACCTACAGCCTCCGGCAAATTTTATGAATTGACTGACTTCATTCTGACTTCAGCTGACTTCATTCTAAAAACCAAACATTTCTGGAAAATGCTGTCTTTAACATAGCACGTTAAAATAAGAGTAATTTTTAAGGTACCAAGAATGTTTTAAATAATACTTCTACTATGAAATACATGGTTACATATTGCCTTCCTTTTTCATTTGAATACAGTAGTTTGAAAACCTCAGCCCTCCACCTGCATCTCACCACAACTCTCTCCACTACAGAGCAGCTGTGAGGTGTCAGAACATAACTGCAGAGGGAACAGGCTTGGACAAAGCAGCAGAAGGAAAAGCGAAGAGGGCAGCTGGATAAAGCTCAGAGGAAAACATAATAACTGCAGTACCAACAAAAAGAAGTTGTGAATATTTTAACATATCCACACACAGGATTCTTTTTCTTCTAACATCTAAATGCACTTTTCCTTTAGCCTTTGGGCAAATGTGAAGACTACAAAAATGAAAAAAGTTACCTCATTGGATACATCTACAACCAAGTTATCGTCACTCTTGTCCCCATCACTGTCCTATTAAAAATAAATAAATATAGTGTTCATTTCAATTAGTACATTAGGAGCCCAGAGAGAAAGACTACGCATCTACTCAGACATTTTTTTTGGTTTTCCTAAACAAAAAGCAAACAACCTTTCATTAATATATTAGCAATAGGGAAAGCAGTGAAAACAAGCACACAACACCTTATTTCTGCTTCAATTATAAAACCCAAATAAGGTAGAACTAATCGAAAGGCGGTGGTCTCACCATTAGTGCAAGATGGTCCAAAACCTCTCCTTATTACCATCATAAACAGTGTTATCACTACTCCTAAAAGAAAAACTCATTCTGTTCATATGCTAATCTTACATGTTAATCTCATGGAAATTACTGCTTGTGCATACCTAAAAAAACCAACAGATCTCCAGAAAACTGGAGCTTTTTGGCATTTGGTTGATGAATCAACTTCCTCAAAGCAATAGGACAATTTTTCTCCTTTTCCAGAAAGGAAAGTTCTGAAATGGAAAGTTCTGGGGAAGAAAAAGCTTCAGAAATGCCAAGACATTTCAACATTTCTGCCTAACAAAACCAAAATACTTTGACATTCCTAAATGAAAATGTTTTATTGTGGCCTGTTAAGCTGCAGTTTAACTGTTGCACATAAATCTTTTTTCACCTGAGCTGCTCTAGGGCCTCACAATAGCTGTTTTTCAAGTGCCTCCTGGTCCCTATCTCCAAAATGGGCTGGAATGCCCCAGCAGACACATTCTATGATACACAGTGGTCTAGTGATTTCCACAGTGCACCATGGTGGTTCAATCAGAAGATGAAGTCTTGACTCAAAACCAAAACCAAACAAACAACAAAAATCAAGTGAATGAAAAAACTTAAAATTTTCATGCAGACAAGTTTGACATTTCCAATAATAATACTTTTCATTAAAAAGTTTCTAGATAAACAAATCAGACATAAAAGATTGCTCAAACTGCCCCCCAACTCTTGCTTTCCAAGTGTCTGGGGCTATCACACTTAACACTGGCAGGCAGAAAGTAAAACACCAGTTCCTTCCTCTCACTTCAAGCCTTACGTGTTTTTAAAAAATCCCCAAAACCAAAAAACCTAACAGGTATTTTCAACCCTTCCCTTCTGCTTAACAGCTGAATATTGCTCCATGAAATATGACAAACATATTAGGCACCCAAGAGTGCCACTGAAGACAGAACAGTGCCTCTATTTGCCACTCAGGGAGCTCGCAAGAATAGGTTAGAAAGTATTTGAGTATGTGCCAGCACAGTAGGTGGGACACTTGTCCACCAGAAATATCGCCTCTGAGGAAGGCAAAAATAGCTGCCAAGTAATGATTAAGTACACTCCACTCACTTGTCATACTGAAAAATAGAAATTTACTGGGACTATCAAAGGCATCTCATATAGGTACTATCAGTATTAGAAGATTCCCCTCACTAACAAACCCACAGGTTTAAACTATACAGGTCCTAACATGAAACTTAGTCAAAAAGAAAAAAAAAAAAAAATTATGTTTTTGCCTCTCATTTCCAAAAGCAACAAGTCCTACAACTCGTCTATCTCCCTTCTGACAAAAGCAGTACTTCCTTGTTCCTGCAAGGGCCTCATCTAAAATGAGCTTGAAATCAACAGCTCCGTGTTTGCAGAATCAGGGACTTTTAGAAAGAAAGAACTTCTTCCAGGTTAGAAAAAATATGGAACTTTCAAATATCATTGTTTTGCTCAATTTTTTATTTTGATGCTGCCTTTATCTGTAAAATCCAATTCAAGCAAACAGCAAACAGAACCCCACATTCAAAATGTGGATTAAAACAAACTGCTTCTACAGTGCAATAATATCCTTTCCATTTCTCTCCAGTAGAAATACAAGAAAAACAAGCAAGCTAAGCTTTTTCTTCCTTTTTTTTTAATATCAAATGTAATTTAAGAATGCTTAACCTTCAAATATTTAAAATAAAAAATGCTCACAGAATATCAAGCCCTCAAAGTTGAGGGGGTAACACAGGGAAGTTTGCCAAACCCATCTGTAATTAAAACAAGACTATGAGAAAGTGGTGGAAATACAACTTGCAAAACCGTAACAGTACTACAACACCATAATGTACAGGAAGAGGAGAGTAACCCCATCTACTGTCAGCAGCTCCAGGGATACCCAATAGCTGCTCAGAGATATGCTGGGTCCAAGTGGAGCAAAACTACCCTACCAAATACTGAGGAAATAAAGTGGCACCTGATTTTCTCTTGGGTTTCAGTACTAAGGAAATAATTAGTGATTGGATTCTGGTTTATACCAGACAATTTGCCACATTATTGCTATGTCAAAGAACAGTATCTTCTGTAAAGGTTTAAGTTCTGCTTTTCAGTACTCTTTCACACCTGTTCTAGTCTCTAAAGCCTGTTCAAGTATCATACGGTGATTTGGCTGAGCATTTAGACTTGAAGTTGAAAGCGTCTGTGAACCTTCTGAGGTTTACATATGCCACAGTCTTGTACTAAAGTGTCTCTTCGAAACCAAGCAACAACCAAGCTAGTCAAAAATGCAGAATACAAACTGTAAACTTTTTACATTTCAATTTGCTTTCTGCTGAAACTGCTCTATCAACCAAAAGCAAACTTCAGGAAGTTGGTGCAGCCTCCTAACATATGCAATTCGCAGTGGTAATTTTTACTCAACATGGTAATAGCTAGTATCAGAAAAGCACACTAAAACTCTCCAAATCAACAAATCCTCCATTTCAAACAAACCTGCAGATTTTAGAGCAGTCCAGAAAGGGTCTCTTGCTGGAACTCTGAGAAATGTCCCAGAACACTTGTGAATCCCAAACAGCTACCCCTGGCTCATTATTCCCTATTGAGTATTACTTGACAATAGTCCAAACTATTGAGACACTACTCTTCCCACAACATGAATAATGGTGAATCTCTGGCACATATATTCATGTACTATATCAGCGATAGGAAACACATTGCCTTGTTCTTCACAGCTCTTTTACTCCTCATACAAGCGCAGTATGTGCAAATAAACTAATCATTTCTTTGACACAGATTTGCTTACATAGTGGCTGGAATCCTTATCATCCACCTTTCTCTTTTTGATGTCATTGGTATATTCAGGGCCATTCCTGCGTTTATCTGTGCTTCGCAGACTGTCCGGGACCAACAGAGAATTACTCTGTAAAGACAAAAAACAAGGTCAATCAAAAGTTCCTTTCAAGATTTCTTCATATATGCTCAAAAACTCAAATTGGATGTGATAGATGCCTTAGAAGTGTGATACCTACATAGCCTTTCATTCCGTTTAATTCAGCTCAAAGTCCTCCAGGCAAACATGTACAGCTTCATGCATTCTAAGAAGCTTGGCTTTTCATTGTTCAACTTATCAAAAGTTTAGTTCACTTGTCAGTCACCATCTATTGAACTAATTAATTCAGCTGAATTTATTGTTTAGGAGAAGCAGGCTTGCTGTTTATTCATGAGCTGGTAACAATGACTTTTTTTTTTTTTTAAAATACAGATCCCATATAATAAGAGACACTTACTAAATATAGTCTGATTGATTGCTCACTTCTAGACCATCATAAATAGATGAGGCTTTGATATGTCTGCTACCTGCAGGCATGGACAGATATATGGCAACTTGCCTTTAACTCTTAAAATAACAAGTATTTACCAAATATGGTTATGCAGCAATCATTTGTTAGCTGTGATAAACTCCAGTTGGATGTCTTCAACAAATGTATTGCAAACAAAGATCAAATATTTTTACTTCCAGCATAACATTCACTACCAGTGTGAAATTAAGACTAAAGTGTTGTTTAGTCAGACTTGATCTGAAAAAACTGAGGCCAACACACACACACAAAAGACAAAAGCAAAGACTAATCTTTTCCTCAAACTACATGGACTGCTTTCATTCATGTTAAGTTATGCTAAGTACAAACTGTTGACCCAAAGAGAAAGGCATTTTAGACATTTTTCAGTCACATGACAATTTGACATGCCTGTGATTCCCATCTCCATCTCCATTCCAGCTAAAGCATTAAAACGTGTTACAATGAGTTCTTTTAAGTGCAGGATTAGCATATGCAAGAGGGCAATTTGTTCAGTGATGTGTTAATGCTGTGAACAATACTGAATGAGTTGAGAAAAAAATCTCCTTTCACAAAGACCTGGTAAGCCTAGTTCCTAAAAGCCAAGTACATGCTTACATAAATAAATATATGCTCACATAAATATCTAAGTAAATACGTATTTAAAGGTATACATGTATCTCTCTCAAGAGAAAAGCCTAGCACCAACATATACACTATTATGTGAGTGTAAGCCTTCAAAGGAAATACTTACATCTACCCCAAAAGCCAGAGATATTTACTCTTGATGTATCAGAAACATATACTAATAGCCAGTGAACTGTGCACAGAATGGCTTCCCCTTTCAAACTGGAGGACACCATGGTAGTTTTGCTCAGACATTAATGTTTAGTCCCAAGGAGAAGGGAAACATAACAGGGTACATAAGGCAATCCAAATCCTCTTTTTCCTACTTCAGAAGCTGCACTTTAAGGCCAACTCTAAGCTCTTTTATTCATGATTATTCAAGCTAAACAAATGCCAAGGGGCTTACATAAAGCATATAGGAGGGTCTAATGAAATTCAGTATAAAGCAGCTCAAAATAATGTCTTTACCACAATGTTTTGCAGCTAAAAGGTGGGCTTGTTGGATCACTGAACTAATTGTCTTGACAAATACAGTCTGAATTTAACCTCTCATCTCCTCCCAGAAGTACACAAACTCAGGGATTCACTAGTTTGAAAAACATTAAAAGCCACCTTCAACATTTTAATATTGAATCCAATCCCCCATGTCTGTAGCACTAGAAACATCTTAAGAAACAAGCTGTCAATTCAAACTTGACCACAGATTTGAGTACTGAAAATGTCTTCTCTTAAGGAGGAAAGTATTTTAGTTAAGCGACACTTCCCTTAATAGAAATCATTATGAAAATCTATTTTACTACTGAAGAGCTTAGAACAAAACAATGAAGGCAAATGTAGCAAAGTGAATAAACTCAGCTTCTCATTTTAAATTGCCACCATCAAGTGTGAGTAACAGAAAGGTGGCAAAGGGGCAGCAGCTGGAAAAAAATTAGCAACCCTGCTATTTTAAGTTAGTACACAAAAGTATAGGGAACAGCTTGAAAATTTTGGCATCAAATATGTGTAACTATAACAGCCAGTATTTCTTTCTGGTTTAATGTAAAGTCTACCTAGACAATGTTGACAGTATTCTGTACAGTTTGTCTTGTAGAATTTCCATATTGTGAAAAATACCTAGGAACTCCTAGGTATACCTAGCTCCCACTGTGTGCTAAATGCCAAACACAGATTATTGGATTTGGTTTTTCCTCAAAAGACTGATGGCTTACTAATCACATAAACATATAACAGTAATCTACAGTCCTCACGAGACTATTCTGCGAAATGCCTCCCCTATGGTCATATTTACACTGCCTTTCTCTAACTTAGCACATTCATTTACAGCACCGTTCTCTGGAATCAGAGCATCCACGCTAGAAGCTGTTGTAGAGCAGCTTATTTCACAATAGCTCAACTGACAGTTGCAAATAAGATTGAGCTGTTACTCTGGCAAAATTTACCAGTAAACTCAATAATTAAAAAGTTACTGTTCTGTTTCCCTTAGGAGTAACATGGCAGTTCTAACAACTGTGATTAAAATCAGGTAAAATGTAACTTTTGATGAAAAAATAGCTGCTGCTGTAGCCTACTACCATAATTCAAACCACCAATTGTGCAAGATTTCATCCAACAATATGAAAATATGCACCTTTTTTAAGTAGTGCATATGGTAGATCTAGAGCACTGAAGTAACAAAGGAAATAAATACAAATGCAAACAAGAACTGGGAAAGAGATGATGCTATAAGCCTTGGTCTATTGCCATCTCTTACCGCCCTAACGTTAAGGTTCAGGGAACAGTGAAGACAGCCTACTAAAAGTCACCTTTCCTCATTTCAGCTCTGGTAGAGTTCATATTTGCTGTATGTTCACTATCAAGCATAGGGCCAGCTAGGAGACAGCAGCAACAGTTTCACGATGATACAGTTCTCCTTATCTTCTCTTAAAAAAAAAAAAAAATCTGTTTAGTTCTTCTACCAGGCCTACTAACATCTGACTTATTTTCAGAAGTAGGACAGGCATTTTTATTTTAGCAATAATATTTATATTTTTTTTAATAATACTGAAGAATTTAAGTTGGGATTGATCTTCAATAATCAGTTTGTACAAAAAGGGCAAAAAAATACATACATGCACAGCTGATTTCCTAAAGAGAAACTGCATTACACCAGTTTTTGTTTTGTCTTAATTTCAACAGACTAGATGCATGATTGAGGATAATCCTTGCTTTCATACTAAGAGTTCTATTTATTAGGGATTACCAATGCTATGTCTGTAAATCATGAATCTTAGAACAAATTGCCAAATCGATTTTATGTAAATGTTGGGTTTTTTCTTCTGATAATTCAAAATTTATTCACATTAATCCCTTTTCTTCAAATAAGTCCTGAAAGAAGGAAAAAAGTGTAATGTAGTACTGCTTGCTGTCAGAGTTACCAGGCTGCGTAAGGGCTGTATAATGGGAAACTTGGGATTCTAAAGCAACTTTGCTGCCAGCAAAAGTTAAACACTGAAACCACCAGCAGCAAAAGTGAAATGAAAACCTAGTCATGATGCACAGAGAGAAGGCAGGTTCCCTATTAGGAATATAATGCACGTTATTCAAGCGCACTTCTTTGACTGCCATGCCATTCCCCATAGGAACTACTTCCAAACCACAAGTACGTGTGCCAGAGGTACAGGCTGAGAGCCCATAGTATCTCACTTAGCCCCAGTTACAATACAGCACAGACAACTCACTAGAACATACAGAACTGACAATTAACTTTATGCTGATCATTACAGCAATTAAATAACAGTATTTGTATCACATCTGTGCTCATGGTTCAACTACACCTGGTCCCAATTAAGATCTTCTCTCGTGCTGGGCTCCTTATCCCTCCCACTCTCCTTCCCCCCGAAGACATGCACACACGCTTGCTCTGTGCTTGGCCGTTCACTGACTTGCTGTACACCCAAACTAACTGAACCCATCTGCCATTACAGCCAGTTATGACCGCTGACAACTTGTACTTGCCCCTACCACCAAGCAGGGCTGCAGTATTTATTTAACCACCACACTGCACCTGTGCACTACACAAAGCACTATCTACAGACACCCACACGTAAACAGAAACAAATGCAATCCCTTGTTGAGTAGGCAAAACAGGATCGAGTCTAACATTTACAACCAAAACACCAGTTGCTTGGCAGTCCCAACTGCTCATTGTCAGGACTCACTGACAGGAATACAGTGGACATTGGAATAGGGATCAGAACTTAACCATCCCCCAGCAAGGTACAAGAAGATTGCACTGAAAGTTACTAAACTCAAGAATCATTAACTTCCATTTGTTAAATATGCTTCTTGCAAACAGACATGTCAACAACGCAGAATTTGACTTACTAAGTCAGTAGGTTTTGTTTCAAATTACTGGTGATGGAAAACTACTGACTTCGCCCTCTTTTCGACCACCATTTTAAGTTATATTTAGACTCGTATGTTCATATTAGGGACAAGGAAATCTAGAAGCCTAAATGGACCTGAATCACTCTACACATTGATTCAATAATCAGAAGACATTAACAGAGAATAAGGCTTCTGTTCGTTTCAGTATTTTCTACTTAATGTTTGTCAGAATCAGGGTATCCACAAAAATTTATACCAGAACACCCCAATCCTCTTGTCCTTAGTCATCAGCCTCATGCTACTTTGTATCAGCAGCAAACTAAACTGCAACACAGCATCCCACAGCTCTTCTGTGTAATTCCCACTGAAGCTAATTTGCAGTTTGCATGAATAAAGACAGTAAGATGTGACTTTTTTTTTTAAGCTGGCAGAGCCAATAAAAATAAAAGATATAACTGATTAAAGAAATTAAAGTTTTTCAATTAAAAGCTATATGATGGAAAATAATACTTTCTTCACAAATGTCAAGCAGCACAGATGTGCTACACTGAAGAGTACCCTACATTTTCATCTAACTCTTTTCACAATTGTCCCCCCCACTTATAAGAATTAAAACACAGAACAAAACCAGCTTTCATGTAATATCAACCAAAAAGTAGCAGTCAATTGTGCAGGCCCTCTTCCTCCAAGACTGGGAGGGGAAGAATAGGAGAATGCAAAGGACACAGAATATTTTTCTGCTGTAAGAAAAGAGCATTTGCTTTACAAAACAATAGCAACATTTATGGTTAATAACCAAAGGCAAAAACATTTCTTGGAAAATGTATGAGTACTTCCTAAGTCTTTGAAAACAAGCTCAACATTTTTCATGAGGACAAAAGATAAACATCAACCTTAACGTAAATCCCAAGCTCATAATGAAGTCACATTTCACTGTCTAAAAATTATTACTGATACAATACAGCACTTCAGAACATTTCTATGCTGTCCAAACAGGATACTAGAACAGTGGGAAGACAAGTGATAAATGAACACCTAAGATGAGTTTGAAAAATGTTGCCAGTATGTTCTCTAGAGAAAAAAATGTGGACATCAAAGTTCTCTCACATTGATGTCTCCCAAAACTGAATTAAGCCTCAGTTGCAAAACTTGCCTACTTTGCCTGGCTTCATTACCTGCGCCCAGACTGTGTCACAATAGTAGGGATGTCTGCATTCCCACAATAACATGACCCAATTTTGGATGGTTAGAGCTACAACAGCCAAAACCCACCTGCCATTATCCATGTAGTCCTGTAAATTAATTTTGAGCAAATAATTTTAGCAGTTCATTATGAAGTATACTATTATTACTCATTTAAATGTTATATATTTCACAAACATGCAATTACAAAGAACTTACTTTCATTTTACTTCCTGAAACTTTAAGTAACATAAAGAAAAATGTATCCCTTGCCATTTAGATATAGCAAAAGTAGGCAAAATGGACAGTGATCACAATCAAGAATAATGAAATAATTGTCTTCATATTCCTTCATAAATACATGAATCTCACTGCATTATGAAGTATGTCTAAATATACAATACATAAAAGCTCGTGACTGCTTATTTGCCTAAGACTTTAAGAAATAAAACTAGTTCTCATTTAAAAATTAATATGCTCAAATAATATGCCACAATATGCTTTAACTCAAAGTTATGTCAAAAAACCTAAACTTAAAACCAAACAGGCAAGCGTTAAACTGTAATCTTTCAACTTTGCACATTTAAACCTGCCAGCTTCTACTGATGATACTGGAAGGTCACACTAGACATATTTGATGGAAATTATACTGTAGAATGGCACAGTAATACCAAATATCATGGTTAATTTAGGTAACTAACAGACAGCAATGGTTTTGGTGTCTTGGATGATGAAAGCAAGCCTTTGTCAGGATGTCTAGCAGCACCATTACACTTAAAAATGTTCCTCTGAAATCAAATTGATCTTATGTTGGTGACCCAGATGTTATAAAGTAATTTGAAAAATAAAAGCCTACTGCTCAGCTGTAACCACATGTAATAATAAAACAGACCTGCTAGTATGCCTTGTGTACTTGTGACCACTTTTATATTCTCTTTAAAAATGTATTTTAAATTAAAAAGAAATCCATTAAAACTCCAAGAGAATTAGAGAAGTTCTAAGAGCAAATAATTTCCAGCTGATCATTTTAGCCACAGATTTGAACTTGACTATCACTTGAATTATCATTCTTTCATTGAAGATATCATTTACTGTTAAACCAAGATTTTAATGCAACACTGTTTGTAACAATTTTCAGTTCAAGTTTAAGATCACCTCTATTCAGCTATTAGTTTAATTTAATTATGAAGTCTTATCCTCTATTGGGACCAAAAATAAACTATGGCCACAACAGCGTAGTAACCTGAACTCAATATATCTGTACAGCAAAGTTCTTTTATGAAATAAAGCCTCAGACTGCTTAAAAGTTACGTAGTGGTAAACCCAGCATAAAAAAGCCTACTACAGATAATAAACAAGCAATCGTGCGTTACACATATAGAGACAGAAGTAACCACAGTGACAATTTTAATTAATTGTTAAATAAAATTGACATATATAGTAAACTAAGCAAGTGATACTGAAAATCTCCCACAAGACAAAAGCCGTTTAACTTTTGACAGTTCTCCTTCCATAGGCAAGAACTATTGTCAGCTACAAGATGAAATCAGAGTCCGAATTTCACAATGCTGTGAAGCATCTGATTTTAAATGCAAAAACCCTTTAGCAAAGTACATGATGGAAAGGGCAGGTGAGGATGGGAAAAGAGCAAGGCCAAGAAACATAACAACCAAAGCAAAACACAAAGCCTTCACTCCCACATGTGCACATGTGTGTGCAGACAAACACACAACTGCAAACCTCCTTCCTTAGCTCTTATGAAAAGTTGTTGAGAATCCTGCACTTGACTAATATCACTCAGAGAAATATGTCCCACTCAAAGAAATACGTCCTTAATAAGTCTGACGCTTCAGGAAAACCCAGCTTAAAATTATTTCCACAGTTACACTGTCATTAATAACATTAAGCATGCTGAAATGAATGCTTCTTGCTAAGATTGCCACAAAAGATACGCAGATAGTTTCCAGTAAATAATTGTCAAGCCCTAGTATAAAAAAAAAAAAAGCAATAAAAATCAGAAGTTTCGTACCATAAAGATATTTGTCAAATAACTTTTCCCAGTTGTTGTCTTTTCTAACTGAGAAAAAGAAACAAAATAGACCCCAAATTCACCTACGACACCAACAACCAGAGTTAGCTTTGTTACTTGAAATGACGTGAATATTGCACACGCCCATCTCCAACAGATTAATACAGCAATATCACTCAAAACACAACAGTATAAAAAGGCATAACAAAGTAGTTCTTTGGATGGTTTTTGGATAAGATTGTCTTAGACCAATTCTATTACAGCTTATGTCTAAAGGGAAAAAAAAGTACTGCTATGGAAGTCATACCTGAAGCACACGTTAAGCAGTAAAGACATTAGTATGGCTTAAACAGATTCAGTTAAAGAAACTCCTACGGCCAAACAGTGTCTTGACACATGAATTTTAAATTTCTCACCTCTTCTGCAACTCTAATTCCTGAAAATCCTACAGGAAATATCTTAACTCTGACCAATAATGTTTAAGTTGCAGTCAACATTCTGTTCGATTTGCAGCTTCCCCCCTGCCCCCAATAAGCAAACTAAAGTTCAAGCTTCCCCAAAATTATACTGCTTAGAAACAAACCTGATGCATACAGTTGTTCAAACAAATGACCTGGTGTTCTACATAAACCAAGAGATATCTTAAAAGAAAACACACATGCCTGGTATCATGAAACTGACTTAAAAGGAAGACAAAACAGACACACAGTGCAAG